CCCAACTCACTCGTGATGACTCCAGGTGGCTTACAAGAGTAATATCTCAAATACAAGACTCAATGAACCCTGGCAACAACAATCAAACATGATGGGCTCCATATCACCCTCAGGGGCCCTCAGGCCCATTGGCAAAACCATGTCTTCAGGGCCTTTTTGAAAGAGAACCAAGATGGAGGCCAACCTTATTTCCTTAGGGATGATTTTCCACAGGCAAGGAGCCCCCATAGAGAAGGGTCTTCTACTTGGTCCTACTAGATACTCCACCTTACTGCTCTGGTGGGACAAGTAGATGTACTGGGACAAGACAATCCTTCAAATAACCCGGTTCCAAGACACACAGTTTCTAATTCTCAAGCATGAATCAAAGTATGAGGCTACACTATCCTCACAGACAACCCCACAAGGACTCATGTAACTAACTAATCTACCATCAGGCCTGGCCTAACAACAGGACCCAAAAAGTTAGTAGACTAAGGCAACTTAAGAACAAGTGAGAATTTTGGAAACAGTGAGATGGAAAAGATTATTCGTGGATCACAGAAGTCCCTATGCACATTAAATGGCAAAGGAACTGACATAGTAAATGACATATCAGGATCCCACCCACTTATTCATCTCAATTCTTGAAGCCTGAAGTATAGATTTCCAGACTCCTACACAGTATTGATTTCTTCCTTCTGCAGAGGATGTATGTGTGTTTGTTGCTGAATTACAAGTTGTTGTTTTTTTGAAGTACAGAAATAGCTGGTTGGTCAATGGTGGAAGCAGAATGGTCTGTCTACCTTGTATTAAGGCAATTTTTAAATGCTGGCCAACAACTAGACAAAAAGGCCAAAATATGTTTTATGTGCTATGCCAGTTTCTAGAGCTGACTTTCTCTGATATATCTTTAATTAATGCTTTTGTTGTTTTATTATCAGAACTACACTGAGCAGCAAATTTTAATATGTTTCTCTGGGCTGATCTCCAATGAACCATCATGTGGAACAAGCTGCTTGTTCACATAGTTCTCACAGGGTATCCAACTCTTTCTTGAAATGAGACTGGTTAAAATTTAGGTAGAATAAGATTTCATTTATCTAAAATAAGTGAGGAAGACATAGCCAGGTACTGACTGTAGAACAGATCATGAACTGTTCTTATACAAGAAGAAAGAAGAAAGTAAATAAGTTTCTACAATATGATCCTAAACATATAATCACAATTTTCAGTGAGACATCAGGAATTCCTTCAAAGTTTGAACCTCATTTATAGAAGACAAGATAAATTATGGAATGAACTGAAAAGCTGCTAAAGATGAAGAAACAGAAAAAAAAACCTGGATGCCAGGACAAACCATGGAAATTGCCTAGAAGAGAAGTAGAAAAGATAAAAATTTCAGGAAGGAACTTAAGAGCAAGTTTCAAAGAGTTGTTATAAGAGATAAAAACAGTTTTACAACATCTATAAAAATATTGAAGTTGGAAACAGACAATTCTGTAACTAAGGAGGAGTTTCCAACCTTGAAATGGTATGCTAAAAGATAGATAGTAACCAATTTAAAGAAGTTCAAAGAAAGATGGAAGGAGTATGCTGGACTACTGTGCAATAGAGAAGCCAAGGTATTTTAAAAGGTATATCTTATCTATAAGAACCTCAAGTACTAAATGATTAAATTAAATCAGCAATTACTAAGTCAGAAGGCTATAGGAATTGATGGAGTACAAAGTATTATACAATATCCTTAATTTCACATGCTAGCAAAATAATGTTTACAATAATCTAATGCAGATTAGAGCCCTATATGAAAATGAGATGCCAAATGTTCAATCTGGCAAAAAAAGAAGAGGAACATGTGACATTATTGCTCATGCACACCGGATAATTGAAAGCCAAAGAATATCAAAAAGAAGACAGTATGTGCTTCATTGATTCTACAAAGGCTTTTTTTGTATGTCAATCACATCAAGCTGTAAAATCCCACAAAATTTCATTGTTCTCATGCAAAACATATAGACAGGTCAGGAAGCTACAGTACAGACAGAACATGGTGAAACAGTCTGAGTTCAAATTAGCAAAGGAATGAGACAAGCATACTCTCCCTTATTCATTTGATTTTTATACTTAAAATATATTAAGGGAAGTTGGATTGAAAGAAAATGAACATGGTTTTAAAACTGGAGGAAGAACTATCAATAATCTGCACTGATGTCATTATAATGCTGATGTCATTACTCTGGTAGCCAAAAATGCAAAGGAACTGCAAGTAGTAATAACAATTAACTAGTACAGTGAAAAAATGGGATTCAAAGTAAATATAACAAAGACTAAAGTAATGACAACAAGTACCACAGCCAGCTGACAATAGAGATTTTGAAATAGTAGGTGGCTTCTGCCTTTCAGGATCATCCATCAACAGTTAATGAATCAGTGGTCAAGTAATTTGGTGTAGGCTAGCATTTGAGAGAGTAGCTTTGAAGGACTTTAAAAAAATATTCAGATGTTATAATAAGTTGATACCTACAAAGATCAGAATGGTGCAGCCAATGGTGTTTCCTGTGACATTTTATGGAAGTAAAAATTGAATAGAGAGACTATTGGTCCTTTTGAACTTTGGTGTTGGAAAACAGTCCTAAGAACACCATGGATATAGACAGTTCTCAATTTACATCTAATTGTAAATTCAAAGTTACAATGCCGGGGGGTGGGATGGGGCTTATAACCATTTTTCACACTTTTAGTTCATGCAGCATCCCTCTGATCACATGATCAAAATTCGGGTGCTTAGAAGCAGACGTCTATTTGTGACAGTTGCAATGTCCCAGGTAATGGGATTGCCGTTTGCAACCTTCTTCTACCCAGAAATCTTGCATATTTTATTTGAGAGATATTTTAAAAATCTATGTGTTCTAAGTTGAGAGTTCACTGAAGACTTCTATGGCATGATTTTCCATATTGAAATTAGTATTGCCTTTGGCATTGCAATCCATAAAGTGGATTCACAGGTGAAGCAGAGGAAAGATCACTGTTTACTATTAGACCCTATGCTTAGTGTGTATCCAAGGGCCTAAAATCTGCTTTTCATAACTCAAAATAAGCTGAAGACAAGTACTGCACAATGGCACATATTATTGGCCCATGCATTTATGAAGTGTTGTTTTGCAGATCTGTACATTGGTGAAACAAAACAACCACTTCATAAATGCATGGCACAAAATAGGAGAACAAACCCATCAGGACAAGATTCAGAACTCCATCTGCATTTAAAAGAAAAAGGCCACTCTCTTGAAGACAGCAAAGTCCAAATTTTGGACAGAGAGGACTGCTGGCTTGAAACAGGGGTCAAAGAGCCCATCTATGTCAAAATTGAACAGCCCTCTTTCAACAGAGTGGGGCAGGGATATGATATCATCTATCTCCAGTCTACAACACAGTCCTTTCAGCAGTTCCAAAATGGCTCCACACCCATTTGCACTACTCAGGTGACCCTGAGGACACAGATAAACCTCCAGGTGGCCTCAATGACTCTCTAAAAGAATGCAAATGACCAGCTGTCTGCAAGGAATGAAAATCATTCCATTGCCAGGCAGAGCTGAAGAAGCTTCTTGGATAAGAAGCAAAATGTCTCTAAAGAAAAACAAACAAGTCCAGATGTTTCTTGAAAAAAGCACATTTGAGACAACCATGACATGTATGACTGAGAATCTCCATAGACGTTTAAAATTTGTGCAGTCTCTTTATCCTCTGCTTGTTTTCTTAATTCTCCTCGACCTCATCACCATTTTTTTCTAAAATTATTTTAATATTTTTGTATCATGTTGTTTTAGTTGATATTGTTTTTGCAAACTCTAGCACTGCTGAGTACATGACTCTGTTTTGTAACGTGTCCAGAGCACCAGCTGTAGCAAGAGAGAGAGAGAGAGTGATATATAATTAAAAATTTTATTTGCTGTCCCCTGCAGCTTGGACTGAAGAAAACAGCAGTCAAAGGAAGGAACATGCAGTTCTTAAATGAATATCTGTCTATTCTCTATTTAGGTCATATCAGAGAGATAAAAGCATCAACCTGTTTTTCCTCCTCCTCCTCCTCCTCCTCCTCCTCCTCCTCCTCCTCAATAGATTCTAACTGGCATAACTTGAAGTCCTAAATTATTGTGAACAGTTGCAGTAACTGCAGGCTGTCATTGTGTCCTTATTATATTTGATACGCTTTCATTCTTTTATTTAGAACAAAGGCAACTTTGATCTATCAACTGATATTCTGGATTAACTTTCAGCATATCAGATTCTTATCCTACTCATTCATTGTGGTCCCATCAAAAACGCTCTTGCCTCCTGTACAACATTATTGAAATGCCAATAGATTTAATTGCTGTAAGAACCTTTATAATATATTGTGAGCAGGTCCTTAACTACCAGTTTCAGTTATAGTTTCTTCCTGGTAAACCTTTGTAAATTGGCTTACAATTTCTCCATTTATCATGTAACCTTGTATTAAATTGAGGTATTTCATTAGCTTTTGGAACTACTATGGTGAGTTTATTTTAGGTCAAGCTCGAGAGAGATATAATTATAGTGCATACCATACCACAACCTATTTACAAAATCCGTGCTGCAGAATGCTATATTTTTTGGCTTTATTCTTCTGTCTTTATTGGAACTTGTCCCAAATAAATAGATATTTTTGTTGTTGTGCTTTTGTATAAATGCCATCATTAGGTGAAATAAGCTCTAACTTTTCCCAGGAAAGGTTATAAAATAACAGAGTATGATGCAGTACATAAAGTTAAGGGATTATATCGTTACAAACAATGGATAAACTAAAGTTAGATATATGTCTCCATCACGCAGTTTCTGTTGGCCAAATATCTTTAAATTCACTTTCAAGAAAATTTAAGTAGGAAAGCATTACTCTTATTAAACTTGTAATATATGTTCATGTTGAAAATATAGCTGCTTCACTCACAAAAGTGTATTTCCTTCTTGCCACATAACTTGTTTATTTCCCTTCACTGCAGATTATTTTCCGAAAAATCAGTGATGTCAAGAAAGAAGAAGAGGAGCGCCTGCGACAAAAGAATGAAGTGACCTTGAGCATCCCCGTGGACCACCCTGTCAGGAAGCTCTTCCAGAAATTCAAACAGCAGAAGGAAATGCGGAACCAAGGGACGACAATTATTGATCCTGAGAGGAATACCCTCCAGGTGGACACCCGAACCATGCAGAATGGTGCTGCCATCACTGGCACCAGTGTGGTCACTGTATCTCAAATTACACCCATCCAGACATCATTATCCTATGTGAAAACCAGTGAGGTGGTCAAACCAAACAAAAGGGATGCCGCAGAGCTCAAACCAAATAGCAATGGGGACCCAGAATGTCTCAAAGTTACCAGTCCTGTGAGGATGAAAAACAGCAATGGGAAAGGGTGGCTTCGATTAAAGAACAACATGGCAGGCCAGGAAGAGAAAAAAGAAGAGTGGAATAACGTCACCAAGGCAGAGTCCATGGGGCTGTTGTCAGAGGACCCCAAGAACATTGATTCAGAAAATGTAACAAAAAACCCACTGAGGAAAACAGACTCCTGTGACAGTGGGATCACAAAAAGTGACCTTCGTTTGGACAAAGCTGGGGAGAACCGTAGCCCCCTAGAGCACAGCCCTTGTCAACCAGATACAAAACACCCCTTTTACCCTATCCCAGAACAAGCCTTACAAACTACACTCCAGGAGATCAAACATGAACTCAAGGAAGATATCCAGCTGATAAGCAGCCGGATGGCCATCCTGGAGAAGCAGGTGGCAGACATTTTAAAAATCTTGTCTGAAAAGAACACGTCACAGACACCATCTTCAAAATCCCATTTATCTCCTCAGCTACCATCACAAATACCTTGTCAGGACATTTTTAGTGTCTCAAGGCCAGTGTCACCTGAATCAGAAAAGGATGAAATTCACTTTTAATATATTCCTATTTTTCTTTGTATACCAAGCGTATGCTGTGAAATGGGCATGCACACATACTCCTGCACAGATATACAAACACATGTCTGTGTGTGAGCGTTGGTAAGAGTGTCCGTGCATCTGCATAGATACAGATCCAAAGAAAAAGAGATAAATGCAGAGTTGTAGTTTGTGTAGGTGTATATATAAATTATAAATATAAAAATATATTTTCACTTGCATTCAATATGACTTGAACATGAACAATGGATTTTGATATGTAAATATTGCATGTCCAGCTGGATTCTGGCCTGCCAAAGAAAACAGTTATTAACATAGATATTGCTTGTATGATATGCAGTTGACTGCATGCACATTTTCAATTATTTATAATATCTATTATAAAATAAAAGGATGAATTTTGTTTTTAAAAAGTGAAAAAAGGTATTGTATTGCTTAATGAACAACAGTCGTCTTATAATACCTGGATGAAAGGTTTTTAAATTGTTGGTAAAAACAAGAAAGAATCTACCACAGGAAAATGCTTGCTATTAGTGTTATGTAATCATATATTCACTGAAAGTTATCTATTTGAAGCACAATCTGATGCATCCTATTAAATTCCTATTAAGTCCTATTAAATTCAGTGAAACCTATTCTCAGGTAAGTACGAAGAGAACTCTATCACTGGTCACTCTTCCATATATAAAGTACATATATATGGAATACTGCATAACAGATTAAAAATTGAAAAATTCTTCCTTGTAAATTTCATCTATTTAATTTTGGTGTTGGCACCATCATACAATGATTATACAATGGCGCCTGTCCTCTGAAAAAGTTCCTAAGGTACATTTACCATATAAGAAATATCTAGTGCTACTAACAAATAGCAAAAAAGCATTTTTTATATAAACTGGGCTTAAAATACTTTTTTTTTAAAAAAATCATTAATTCAGGCAATATCATTTTGCATGGATAGTTCATGTCCATGCTTCTATCTTCAATATATTTCATGGAACTAATGATAGTTCTTAACCTGCATATATGAACATAAATATTATATGTAAGTATCTTTCACAGATTCCTAGTTTGTATTTCAGGCAATGTTATCTTTCTCAAAAACATTGCTTGCTGGGGGTGACTTGTTTTCCTCAAATCTCTGCATCCTGAATTAAGTGGACTCATAGTGGAGTATATTGCTCTCTATCCTTAATCACAAAAATTCCTCTATCAGGTTTCAACAGGTCCTACTATCTTTTGTATCAAAATGGTAGAAAACCATAGCAAAAAAAAAAAAAATAGAGAATATTGCATAACTCAATACAAAACAACTGCTTCATAAGCAGAAGGTACCCGGCTAGATTCCAAGCAGCTGCAGGTAAGGTTGGGAGGGACTCCAATCTGGAACCCTGAAAAACTGTTGTCAGTCAATACAGACAATCTTGGCTTAAATAAACTGACTCAAAGCTGACCAAAGCAAAATCATGGCAGAGGCAATCGCAATTGCTACACCAAGGCTTCCTCGTGTTAACACCTAAGACAGATGGCTAGAACAGAAAGCTGGGGATTAAGCTGCTCCAGAGAGGCAATGAAGCAGCCACTGTAGTGCCAGATCATGTGCCAGGATGAGGGCTTTGCCCAACCCACAATCCAATTCAATATACCACTTGTTTCAGTCTGTCAATGATCATAGGGCTAGTTCTTCAAAATATAGTTACATTTTTGTTCTTGTGACTGACACAGGACATATCTTTTCACAAATCACCACATTTTAGGTGGCAGTTTTCTTTGACCATTTCCTCCAAGCTTGCCTCATAATTTCATAAAAAGATTCTCCCTCTTTCCACTATAAAATTAGCTCAGATCTGACCAAAACTCAAACCCATTTTGCTATCTCTATTCCCAAAAGAACTCTGGAGGCTGCTAGTTGAATTACGTGTACTTTTTCTTAATTTCATGATTATTTGATAGGACCAGTAGCAGCTTTCCAGGAGATCCATCATATTTAAATATACTCAGTTATTTATTTTCATACCATTCTTCAAATGTATTCCTATAAAGTTATATTTCTTGTGGCTTTTTGAATATGTAAAATGTTTAAATGTGAAATGAAGTGTACTTTAGTGGCCTTTCCCTATTGGTGCCTTATGCTGGATTTTCTGTCATGCCCAACTAACATTTGAAGTCCAACACAAGTGGAGTAGATTGTTCTATACATCCATGTGATATTTTTTTCTTAAATTCTATGAATTTCTATGAAACATTCAGAAGAACTCTTCTGGAGTCAGAATGGACACTTGGAAGGACCTGAATACATACTGCTTCCTACTTCATGTTTAAGATGGTAACATTTTAGCTCCAGTGTTGGGACTCAGAAAAAGTATTTAATAGTGTTAGTGATTGGGGACAAACCCCCAAACAGAATGTGCAGCAGCAGTCAAGCCAGGCAGCCAAATGAGAGAGGAAGGGCCCTAGAGTTTACACACACTGATGACAAACACTGTTTTTGTAGTTTAAATAGTTGTTTAATCCAATTAGAGTTTAAACATTGTCAATCAGTCCATATGTCATTCACAAATATATCCATTCAGTAACTTAGTCCATTCACTAGTCAGTTCTATATCCTTATCTGCTTGTAAAGATATCTTCTCCTCTGATACCTTTCCTTTTGAAGACAACGCTGAGTATTCACAGGATATCAGCACATCAATGAAATAGTCCTTTCGTTCAGGTATTCAAACAGTTGTAGCAAACAGTAGCAAACAAACAGTAGCAAGCAGACAAAACAAGCAGAGAGATTAAGTGTCTCTTACTGCCTTTTATTGCCGTTTGTAACCGCACCCTTAATTAGTTAATTACAAGCAGTTTGGTGCTTAAAGCTACAAGTTACAAACACCCAAACCTTGGTTTATATATTTATTCACCCAAACTTAGTTGGTGTATCATTGTTATACCCAACAAATAGGTAAGCTAATATTTGTGGGAAAGATAGTGCATCTCGTGGGTTGGTTTGCACATGTGTGTTTGTAGTGCTTGAATCTATGGCTGAGTGGTTGTGAAACAAAGTAACAGCACAATTCTTTGAGTCAAATTCAAGTCTAAAGTTACTTTGCAACATTAGAGAAGTGATTTGTGATGATCAAAAGATGACAATCTTCATGAACCTGCTTTAACTTGGGTTTTACTTTGTGCTTGAAACAGAAATGGTCCGTTAATTGACTGCCTAAACATTTACAAGCTGATATCCTTGCAATTTGATTCTGTGCGATGCTTGATTGGACATAGTAGGAAGTAAAGAGGAAACTTCAATAAATTTAATTCTTGTTGCAGCTAAGACCTATGGGAGATCTTGCAAACCAGCCTACTTCACTTCTGATCTGCCAGAATGAAGAATAAGACAGTTTTACAGTTATTCTAAGCTGTCATAACAGTGATTTACAGTGCACTGCTGTTGTATACTATCCACCGTGCTCATCTTGCAATGTGGAAATGGAGAAAAAATGACTTTGGGACAATGGGCAAAAGGCTCTTTGTTTTTCTTTGCAGTTGCGGTGCATCCTAGAATGTAAACAGAATTAAACAAATTGCATTTTTTACAAGGTGCTTTTAAATCATTGTTGATTGCATGGACAAATTTCTGTAGTTTTTCTGGCAAGATTTTTTTTGGAAGAAAGTGATTTGCCACTGACTTTTTCTTCCTGGGAGTGAATGACTGTCCCAAAGTCACCAAGCCAACTTTCATGCCTAAAATGGAATTAGAACTCAGGGTTTCCTGGTGATTGGCCCAAAGTCACCCAGTTGGCTTTGTGACTAAGGTATGACTAGAATACATAGTCTCTTCATCTCCAGTCTAGTGCCTTAACCATTACACCAGACTCTTTACAAGATGCATGCTTGTTTCAAAATGATTCAGGAATCATTTTCCCTTAAATTCTAAAATTCTAATTATAGTTCAGGTGGCTGAATAAGAAAGACATCCTGACTAAAAGATGGGCAGTCTTCCAAAAGAAGATTTTCTGAAATGAAGGCAATTTGACACTTGGAACAGTGCCTAGTTGATGACAGCATGGTGCTCCTATTTTTGGCATGGTGAAGTTTAGACTTGCAACATCAATCTGCTTAATTTTCAAATAGACCTGCTAAGCCTCTGCATCATGTAGAGATTGTGATTTAGGAAGATACATAAATAAAATTGGGGAACATAAGTCTTTGCTCAACCCAAGAGTTTGTTTTCTAGACCAGAATTTTAGAATATGCCCCACCTTTCCATTTTCATCCCAATGATTTCTTTATTTTTGAAATAAAGGTGAAGATGAAAAAAGGAGTTACTGTTAAATTAATCAAAAGCCTTGTTGATCTATTGTTGGTCAAAAGTGTAATTCTTTTTGATACGAATGAAGCTGGAATAATCACAAAGATGTTTTGCTGGGTTGTGGGATTTCATTTTGCTCCAGTGTGCTGATATGAAGGTAGCCAAGGCTCAGAATGGAAACTGAAGAATTTTAGAACTTACAGCTATTTTCCTATATATTTTAACCATTTCTTTGTTGGGTGCAGCTTTAGGTATGCTTATAGTGGATTTAGTTCTAAGCAGATTTACATAAGATTTATTTAGTTCCTATTATATGTCCTGAATTTTTTATGTGTCAAACTTTGTGAGAAGTTTGTAGCTGGCATTGTGCTTAATTTTTAAAACAAAGGGAGGAATACATGCTGGGCATGACTTTTTGATTTTTTTTCCTAATTCCTTCAGTGGCAGCACCCATAGCAGATATTTCTATTTTCTTCTGCCTGAGAAAGTAACATGTTTCATCTATATGTGTATTTTTGAGCTTTTCTTCATGTTGCATCTTTGTGGTGTGTGTACACACACACACACACACACACAGACACACACCGAGAAGCAGAGGGTAGGCCGCTGATGCTCTTTCCTAAACACAGACTGGAAGGAGAGGGATCGAAGTGACAGTCTTCTCAACTGTCTACTTCATAGGGACAACTTGAGGAAAAATTTCTAGAATATTTTTTAATCTTCAACCCTGACCTGATCAAGTGTATTTTCAGTTTCAGTTTTTCTTTTACCAGCTTCTCTCTCTATCCCATGACACATGTACCAGATTGGTCTGAATTGAAAAGAATTTTAAAAATAATTGAAGGAGGCAAAACCAGCACGCTCAGCTGTATGGAGAAAGTGTGGTACTCTCCTGATCTTCTCTTCTGAAGCTGCTAGTGCCTCTGAAAAGGAAGCTTAGCTGATGCCAGCAATGCAATTAATTTTGTTTCTTGTCTGTTGCTACATTAATTCCAAGAAATAGGACCAGTTCAGGAAACGCAGGAGAATGGAAAAT